GCAAAATCCATCTTCAGGATCTTTGAAATCGTTTTCAATTTGTTCTATATCAGAATCTCTGCCATTTCGAAGATAATTTACTCGATCGCCAGACGGTGTGTTTATTCGACCCAAAGTAAACTTTCGGCAATCCTTTGCGAGCCGTGTTCAGAAAAATCGACATTTTTTCTGCTATGGCAAAATTTTTGGGCCTTTACGAGGGGACATCTAGGGTGCCTCCTTGGGTTTTGGCCATCTGGGCCAAAACCCTGCAGGAAAAAATGGTTTTTATATTACCATTTACCATGTAGTCTAAAGACCTTTAAAAATGTGTTTGCTTTTCTGTATGTACAAGTAAAAGTTAATTATAAGGAAATCTGTGAAGAAATATCCTTTCCTTTTTTTTCAGAAAAATGGTGATGTCAGCATTTTTGTTCAGATCCAAGGCTAATTATCTCAAAAAAATGCGTGGCTACCCCCATTTTCTTTGTGGATTCCAATAGCCCTTGCAAAGATCTACTTTTTCCGCACGGTCCTAATCTGGTGCAAAAACCTTTGTATTTGGTAGGCACCGTCCTTGAAGCTTATTGAAAACCAGTACATGAGAAATTTATTTTGATCAACATTGCTTTAGCTTATTTCGAAACGTTTTTTGTTATTCAGCTTATAAGCCCCCTGGATATAAGTCCCTCCGATTATAAGCCCATCAAAAACACCTTACAAAAGAGTATAAGCCCCAGGCTTATAAGCAGAAGTTTACAGTAGCTCCATAACTTCCAGTTTCCATAAAAAGCCTGTTATATGTTCTTACAATAGCCTGCTTAATTGGGACAATGGACACTTTCCTCTGACCAGAGTGACACGCTCCAATACCAAATAGCCTTACCTTATAGATACTTATTTTCTGTGACTGTAGACTGTACATGTTAAATTTTCCGGGTTTTACAATTAAACGGAAAGAGTAAGTAGAAAGGAAAGTTATCAGAGGATACAATGTACTTTAGACAGATTAATTTTTGCTATTGATCATGCTTAAAACAATACGACACTCTTAAATATTTAGTTTGAACGTAATCTATTTAGTATACTGAATGCCGGTATGCAGTTTTCAGTATCCACAAATCCAGAAAGAAAACACGAGTTAGAATCATTAAGAATTCAATGATAACAGAAAGTCTGTAACGCTTATTCTGAGAGCTCACATAAAGCATACAATAGGCCGGATTCTGGATAGAGCGCCCAACATTTGGCCAAAATTTGAAGCCAAAAAAAATATCGGCAATCAGCAAATTTAATTCTCACCACCATATCAAGCAAGCTACACAAATGGTGTGTACCAATATTTGCACTTTCCTTTGAATGTTAGTAAGAGGTAATTCAACCCTTTCCTTATTATGTAAGTACGACCGCAAGTCACCAAATTTACTTTCCCTGAGTAAGTACGTTATCACAAATGCTTATTTCACCACATTTACTTTCCTTTGTACATTAGGACGACTGCATATTTTAACAAATTTACTTCCATTCCTTAGTGCCTTAGTACGTTACTTCAACCCTTCTTTGCGTTCAAAGCTTTCCCTCTAGCACGTTAGTACAACCCCTGTTTCAAAGCTTTCTTTGGTACACTACTACGACCCTTGTTTCAATTCAGAACTTTCCTCTGTACGTTAGTATGACAGTACGACCCTTATTTCAATTCAAAACTTTCCTCTGTAAGCTCGTACGACAGTGCAACCCACATTTCAATTCAAAACTTTCCTTAGTTTGTTAGAAAGGCCCTTGGTTTTATTCAAAGCTTTCTTGGGAAACTTAGAATGTTAGTAAGCCCATTGTTTCTATTGCATTCATGACTTATTTATTTACTGGAAACAACGAAAATAACACTTAAGTTTTGTTTAGATTTTTGGGCACCTGTGTCACGTACTTAGTACAGTTTGAAGAAGTATTAAAGAAAAAAAATGAAATAAACAATTCCTATTCTATGCTTGGTATGGATATGTAGAGCCGTAGAGCCGCAGAGCCATAGAGCTGCAGAGTTTATTATTTAAAAATGCGTGATTGCAGAGGGGTAGAGGGGTAGAGTGGTAGAGCCGTAGAGTTCATTATCTAAAAATGTGTGATCATAGAGCCATAGAGTTCATTATCTAAAAATGTGTGATCATAGAGCCATACAGATCATTATCTAAAAATGCGAGATTGTAGAGCCATACTGTTAATTATCTAGATATGTGTGATTGTAGAGCCGTAGAGTATAGAGTTCATTGTGCAGAAATGATTGTTAGCAAATGAGTTCAGCTGTAATGTTGAATAAAACTTCTACAAAAAGCCAAAGACCATTGGTAACCATGGTAACATGCCACCGTTTTACATGTACAAGCAAGAGAAGAAGTACAAAGTGATTGGTGATAAACACGTAGAGAAAACTTCTATGGCAATATGAGGTCCCTAAAACAGGCACCAGTTGTCATATGAACAAAATTAAATGAACTAGGAGCAAAAATCCCATTACCAGGTCTCTTCTTTTTGGCTCATAACTACCATTCTTTACACCATACAATTGCAAAAATCTGTGCTGCTGCAGCTATCCTTTTTTGTACAAATTGAGGTACAGTTACATTATACAAATGCTTATTCCTGTGATACATAATATTAAATAATTTCCAAGGAGAAGGCTTGGGGGAAATTTTGAATAATGCCTTCTACCAGGTAAATCACTATCAAGTGGATAAGTTTTGCCAGAATAAGCCCTGATATCCACTGGATAGTGACTTATCAGCTGACAGCATTTTCAACCCTTAGAACAACAGGGACCAGGGATATTATTATATGAGACATCCAATTTTAGCCCCATTTTAACCTCACAACAATTCCACTCCCCCTCACCCCCCCCAAAAAAGACACAGACAAAGCCATCCATATTTATTACTTACCTCTTTGTTCTGTTTACTGAATTTCATGTTCAGTCCAATATCTACCTTTGTGCCTCCACCAGATGCACTTTAATATAAAAAAATATTGAAAACCATTAGCAAGATTCAAACGGTGATAACTAGTGACTGCCAACCAAAACCTCACCAAGGCTGGAGCATTTTTATCAAACTACTAGTGTCATCTTTGCTGATTGACAAAAAGAGATTTGTTCCCATTACCAGAATTTTGTTGATACTTGTCTCCTCTAAATTTAAATCTAAGGTATTGCAATTAGGCTGATGTTTCTGCCTGTGTTGCAATTGCGGTTAAGTAGATACAAGTGCTCTTCCTAACAAGGCAAATGTTCAGGCTTCGTCATAATTAGCTAAGATAATACACGATGGTAAGGAAAAAGTCAGTACTGGCAGCCTGGCAGAGGCATCAGGCTACACTGTTGCAAAGGGACCAGAAGTCATCCCATTTTTGGTAGAATTAAGCAAATTAGCAAATTTCTAGTGCTCTTGGATGCCATGTTAGTCCAAAACAGAATTTATCTTGTGCATTTCATTCTCTGGTACCAATACAAGTATAATTTTACACCTGGTTGGAGAGCGGAATGTGAAAGTAGAGTTTCTAGTGCAATCAACAACACAACTCAATGACCCCGCCTACAACAGGCACCAGATAGAGACCACAAAGATCACAGTCTGATGAGGATGACTCAATTTACAGCTGAAGAAAATGACTGGAAACAGCTTAACCTTATCCTAAAACAGACAATCTGAATTTATTATAAAAGGGTCACTTTTCTTACTCCATGTGAATATTTATTTTGTAGCTAAACCAGTTTACAAAGGTATGATTCAGAATTAGCATGACATTCACAGTTTGTGGCTATGTCCTATATGGCTTTTACAACAAATGTACAAACAAAATACAGTCCAACCTCCCATAAGCAACCACCCAAAATGCCTAGTCTAGGAGGTCGCTTACAGGAGGTGGTTGCTATCGAGAACTAGGATCATATTGGGTCAAAATTTGCCTTGTTAGCATATGGTAACTACATGTACAGAGACTTACCCAATGTTTTAAATGTTTCATTGATGTCAAAAGTCAATTTCAAGAAAAAATATTGTACTTGCCATTGAGAAATATCTGTCTCTTGTACTATTCAATTTTCGCTCTATTATCTGTCGTGGTTGCTTACAGGAGGTCAAAACAAAAGAAAATTTCACACTTTTAGCTCTAAAAATGGTCACGGTCACTTATGAGAGGTGGTCACTTACACGAGGTTCCAAATATAGTGATTTGACTTGGAAACTTTTGGTATTTTGGAAAACTGGTCGCTGAGGAGAGGTAGTGGCTTACAAGAGGTAGTCGCAACTGGAGGTTTGACTGTAACAACTTTTTTACTTTGATGAAGGTTTAGAATTAATGCAAGTTTCACGTTTCCAGGTTAGGAAAATGCAAATGGAATGTAATAATAATAATTAATAATAAAAACAATCTTTAAAGAGGAAGCGCCTGTCACGTAAATATGTGGTTTTCAGGGAGGTCCTCTATAAAATAAAAAGTGTTAAAATCTAAAATAAGAAATACAAGTATCACAGATCTAAATATAAAATATACAATGATTAAAACTACTAAAACTACCAAAACTACCTACTGTCATTTTTCTAAAAATGTTTACTATTAAGAACCTTATAAGGTTTTTCTTAAAAATTGTGCATGGCATTGGCTTTCTTAAAAATACTGGGAGAGACATCCAGTCATTTGTAAAACGAAAGTAGGACACTCTCTTTCCGCATTCCGTTTTGGGTTTTAATGTGCCTATTTTTTCACCAGGAAAATGGGTTATGATCACTGGGACTGGGAAACACACACTATAGAGGGAATGGAACTGGGGTTTGGACAAAAATAGGCTGGAAAATGGGATCTGGGCACAATTGTGGCTGAGAAATGGAATTTATACCCTAGCCTTCCCACCCACTTTCAGGACCCTTTGATAAACAATCCTGCCAGGAACTAATAAACCCAGCAAGTCACGCCAAACAAAGTCAAGTGCAACTAAGGATGCTAACACAGTGTAAGTTTTAAGTGTAAGTTTTAGAAAAAAAAATCGATGATTAAAAGATGCTAGACATTAAAATTCTTTTTCAGCAACAAGTACCTCATTAAACTTTCCAAACAAATGCTAATTAAAAGTGGTTTTTGAGCGGTCAGTACATGGATCATAAAATTGACCACCTAAACTAGAACACTCATACAATTGAAGGGTAGTTCCAAGTGTGGTGATCACCTACCCCATCTAGCAAAAAACAGTTGTATGTTAAGTGAAATTGTTCTCTCATTTTGGTTCTTACTTATGATCTATTGGAGAATAGAGGTATAGACAACATCATTAACATTTTTTAAGTGATGACATCGTACATCAGCGCTTTATGTCAGCACAAAGAAACCAAGGATGAGAGGATGTTAAGATTTATCCCTTCAAACCGAAGTGCACTGGGAACTAGCTAAATGAAAACAATGTCATTCAGCAATCCGCCATCTGTTTTGCCAATGTGCAGATGTTTGATTTGCAACTGGTTAATACAGACAGAGGATTTGAGTTTGGAGTGTAGGAGTGAGCATTGTACTGTATCCGATAAATTTGAGCCCCCAAGCAAACACATCCAATATTTAAAACACAAATTCGATATGCAAATCAACATTAGCCTGAGCCATGGGTGGAGGTCAGTGCCTGTTCATAGAATTCATAGTAAATTATGATCATAATTAATACATACATTGGCATATGTAGATTTAGCCAAGCGTAAAAGCGGAGCTCCTGATTGCAAAAAAACATAAAGAAAAAGGAGGATTTGTTTCTTGGATCAGAAACTCAAACTAGTGAGAGAATCTCAGATAGTGCAGAGTGTAATTTACGGCTCTGATGCAGTAGTCACACAGGGCCTCACCCCTGGTGTTCTCTCCCTTGGTAGTCAACTAGGCCTTTTTGAAAAGTCAGAGAGGAACGATTTTGTTTTACTCAAAATGTAAATTTTCATTTCACCGATAAACAAGACCTAATCTAATTATCAAATAGTCATGTCCAATCACGGAATAGTGCATTCTAATTCTTTTGCTAGCCAAGTTGGTGTGAACAATAAAACCACATCAAACCAATACACAATGCTATTGAGTAATACAACTGAGGAGCATTTCAACGAGAAGTATTGAAGGTAGAGATCTTTACTTGACCGAAATTATGTCCCACATCGGTGAGCGAGTCACCTCATTGACTGATGAAATTAATTGGAGATTTCAGTAAGTGCCATAGAATCTGCGGCAGTAATAACGAAGTTTCTTTTGTCACAAATTTACTAGTTTTACCTGTAACTAACTGGGGAAAGTTTCAGCTGAATATGAACTTTGGACTCTCTTTCATAGTAGAGGAAACAAACAAGCTGCTAAGGAGAAGCAAAATGTTCCCATTCTCTGTTTCAACCCTGGCAAACACACAATAGTTATAGAACAGCAGATGACATTTCTTGAATCGAGCTAGGGAAGATTCCAGAGGATACGCAGTCACAGTAGAGTTCTTTGCACTAAAAAAGGAGAACTGACGTTGCCTCAAATATAACTGCTATCCCCAGCCAAAACGAGAGTGCGATATCACTCATTACAAAAAATAAAAAAAGCGTGCCTCTGAACTCGAGAATGGAGTTTATCACACTAGCAATGTTAGAACGCATGCGTCTTACATGTTATGTTCTACCACAAGGGAAAACACTCAACATTCGTGGGTAGTCCCGTATGAAATGTATCTTTTACCTAACATATAGTTGACTTTGACACTAACTAATTTGCGCATGCGTTTGGAGTAAATTGCTTTTGTTCTTAAGAGAATGGCACCACAAGGATAGCATGAGATTTGCAAAACCATATATATATTTGTCATGTTATTAAAGAAAGCAACGTAAGTACGACACGTTTTGTGGAATGTGCTTGGGTACCTACCCCACCCAGCTCTCCTTCCCGCAAGGCTAATTGATTAATTGAAAGTAATTAATTACACAAACATTTAAGTTTACACCTTATTGCTTAGTGCCTTAGCGAGCAGCAGCCCCCTAAACCATCCCAATAGTGCACTCTGCTCTAAAAATGATCAATTGTGAGCATGTAATTGTTCAGCATGTGGTTTCGCTATTTTTTCCAGTTAAGTTGTAGTAAACTGATGAGATGATTGTGCAAGGGATATGTCCGGGGAAAAGTCAACAATTCACTGGGGGTTAATTTGCACCAAAATTGTGCCTTTTCACGTACTCTCTCCTTCTCCCCCGGAGTAATAACTTGACTTGAGCCTGCAATCCAATTTAAAAAAAAAAGTCCTTGGTCAGCAGTCAACTTCAAAAAAACACGCGACCTCAATGAGCTCTAAACCTGAGCCCATGATATGGTCATGTGATACTGGTCAGCAGACACCTTGTTTTGATAGCTTTTAATTAACCATAAAATAGATGCCCAAATCAAAGGTGTGGCCATGGTAATGGCGCTACTCTTATTTGTCAAGGTATTAGTGTACATACGGACAATCACGTGACAACCAAATTTTTTTAGATCGATGGGTTACCAGATTTTCTAAGGTATGGGGTTCCACTTGTGCACCTTTGGCGTGTAGAGGCGCCACTATTATGATTTTTATCCTCTTTTATTCTGTATGTGGGACACTGGAATGGTTTAACGTATTGCCCTCGCTTCACATACATATTCAGCATCACAAACTTTGCCAGTGTAAACAAGTACAGTCTGGCTATATTCAAACAAGATATATTGGTTTCACAAGACAGAACATAATGACTGATAGGAATCATAATTTCCAGATTTCTTCCATCTGCGATAAAAATAGCTTACACTAAACATGTACTGACTGAAGAAAAGAATCTTCAATCCATAGTCATTGCAGTTATCCTGCCCTTTACCACGACACTGAGCTTGGTCTTAAGATCAAAATGATAACAATTCTTTTCTTGTTTGGTTTTCACATTTTAACTTTCCATTTTAGTTCTCACACACTGAATACCATTTGTCTGCCACACGACAAT